TCTTTCTTTCTTTCTTTCTTTCTTTCTTTCTTTCTTTCTTTCTTTCTCCTTCATTCCTTCTTTCTTTCCTTCCTCCCTTCCTCCCTTCCTTCCTTCCTTCCTTCCTTCTTTCCTTTCTTTCATCCTACCTGTAGGATATTCGCTTGTCTGAAAGACCGTTATTTCTGCACTGAACTGGCTTTCACTTTTGTTGTTCATGTAAGTGTTGGTCTGTTTCTGGGCTCTGAATCCCTCCCCTCTGGTCTGTTGGTCTGTCTTTGTGCCACTGCCACACGGTCTTGATTACTATAGCTCTATAGTAAGACTCGCTCAGAGGGTGTCAGTCCTCCAAGTTATCAAAGTTGTGTAGTGATTCTGGGTCCTTTGCAATTCCCTGTGAATTTGAGACTCAGCTCACTTTCTACAGAAAAGGCTGCTGAGATGTTGATTGATATTATAATCAAGTTTGGGAGAATTGACATCTTAACAGTACGGAGTCCCTGACCCAAGAAAACTATGTATTTCTACACGTATTTAGGTCATCTTTAATTTCCATCAACAGTGTTTTACATAGATTTCAGTGTTACAGGTCTTACACATCTTTTGTCAGATTTATTCGCAAGTATTTTGTATTTTTTGATGCTATTATAAATAGTATTGTTTTAAATTCTGGTTCCTTGGGGCGCCTGGGTGGCTCAGTCGGTTGGGCGGCCGACTTCGGCTCAGGTCACGATCTCGCGGTCCGTGAGTTCGAGTCCCGCGTCGGGCTCTGGGCTGGTGGCTCAGAGCCTGGAGCCTGCTTCCGATTCTGTGTCTCCCTGTCTCTCTGCCCTTCCCCTGTTCATGCTCTGTCTCTCTCTCAAAAATGAATAAAACGTTAAAAAAAAAATTCTGGTTCCTAATTGCTTCTTGCCAGTGTATAGACATACCATGATCTTATATCCTGCCACCTTTTTGCACTCACCTGTTGGCTCTAGTAGCTTTGGGTTTTTTTTTAGTAGGCTCTATGCCCAGCACAGAGCCCAGTGTGGGGCTTTGGACTCACGTCCCTGAGATCAAGACCTGAGCTGAGATCAAGAGTCGGATGCTTAACTGACTGAGCCACCCAGGCACCTCCATTCTAGTAGCTCTTAAAAATGGGTTTGATCATTTTCCCCATAGATGATGGTGTTGTTTGAGAATAAAGACAATTTCGCGTCTTCCTCTTGCAGTATCGATGCCTTTTCTTTCTTTTTCTTGCCTTACTGCTGTTGGGAGGCCTTCCTTGTGGGTCTCTTGCGCTCCTGCCCGTCTCGCTGGGTATGCCGGGGATTCGTTGCTGTGACTTGCTCTCCACCCGGGCTGCTTCTCAGGACTGTGTCCCCTGCAAGCACCCGTGTGACATGGTGGCATGTTTCCCTTATGGACAAACAGCAGGCTCGCTTACTGTTCACTCTGAGAAGCGTAGGTTACCCAAGTTCAGAGGTTCCTTCCCTGTAAGCATCGCTGTGTGTGTGCGGGCATCTCCCTGAGCCCTCTGTGTCACCCTGTGGGGCTTTGGGGTCAGGGAGAATCTGTGCGCACGTGGGACTCACGCCGTGTGCTATGCCGTGAATAAGAAAGTCGCTTCTGTCTCACCCAGAGGTTTCCTGTCTCCTGCTGACGTTCACCAAATAGCAGCAGGCTAACTTACTGGGTTCCAGGTGGAGTAAAATAAAATCTCGGCCCCTGCTAACCCCCGGGGTATCTGGCCACGCTGATACCTCCAGATCAGTGCTGAGCACAAGTGCTGGGATCAGACATCCTTGTTCTCTTCCCAACCTTGGAGGGAAAGAGTCCTTCTTCCACTAAGTATTATGTTAGCTGTAGGTTTTTCATAGATGCCCTTTTTCTGGTTGAGAAGTTTCTCTTCTGTTCCAAGGTGGCTGAGACTTTCTTTTTCCTTTTTTTTTTTTCAAGTTTTTTTTTTTAATGTTTATTTACTTTTGAGAGAGAGACAGACAGACGCAGAGTGTGTGGGGGAGGGACAGAGAGAGGGAGACACAGAATCAGAAGCAGACTCCGGGCTCCGAGCTGTCAGCACAGAGCCCGATGTGGGGCTCGAACCCACGGACTGCGAGATCATGACTCCGGCTGAAGTCAGATGGCTTAACCGAGCCACCCAGGTGACCCTGAGGTGGCCGAGGGTTTTTATCAGAAATTAGTCTTGTGTTTTGTCAAAAAAAATGTTTTTCTTCTCTATGATGGTGTTTTCCTTTTTCTTTTTAGTTTGTTTATGTGGTGAATTATATTGATTGATTTTCCAGATATTCATTCAACCTTTCATTCCTGGGATTAACCCTACTTGGTTATGGTGTATTATCCATTTTGTATTTTGATGGGTTCTATTTATTAAAATTTTGCAAGGAATCTTTGCATCTATGTTAATGACAGTGACTATAGTTTTCTCTTTTTAAAACCAAGTTTTTGTCTGCTTTCTGTATTAGAGTGATCATGGACTCAGAACTAGTCCCTTCTCTTTGGACTTTTAGAAAAATCGAGAATAACCAAGTCTTTAAATGTTTGGCTGAAAGTACTAGTGATGTTATCCGAACCTGGAGTTTTTTCCTTGGGGAAGTTTTTTTAACTACAAATTCTGTTTCTTTAATAGATACAGATGCATTCATATGTTTCTTCTTAAGGGAGCTGTGGTGGTTTGACTCTTCTAAGAAATGTATCCATTTCATCTCCGTTGTCTGTTCGTAGTATCCCCTTGTTATGCTGTCAGTATCCGTGGGATATCGTGGAATATCGTTCCTGTTGACCGTTTGATTCTCCTCCCTCCCTTCTGACCCCTGGCTCCCTGGCTAGAGGTTTATCAATTCTATAGATCTTCTCAAAGAACTTGCTTTTGGTTTTGTTGATTTTCTCTATTGAGTTTGTTTCCTATTTCATCGATGCCTACTCTGATCTTTATTGTTTCCTTCATTCTACTTTTTGCTTTAGTTTTTAAAACTATAAAGAAAATGCATGCGTGTTTGCGTGCGCCCACGCATGTGTGTGTAGTTATTGACAACAACTCCTAGAAAAAATGGTCAGAATTGTCACTTTACGTTGATCGAGATTACATACAAATCCTTGGAACTTTTCCATGGTTCATCTGAGAGCAGCGTGTTATCCTGTGTGTTTAGCATTCTCTAGAAACTGGAGTTGGGAAGAAGAATTACAGCACCATATGTTTGCCCAAATGGCAGCCATATGCAGGAGTGAACGATTGCTCACGAATGATGACATAAGCAGGGCCTTCCTGACGGTCCTAATTCAGGGATGTTTATGTTTATGGTGTCGGGGTTCTGATGGGAGCAGAAGGGCATTAACTGAAATGTTAATGCCAAGGTCATATTCAGAGTATGATGTGACTGTGGGACTTAATTATGAGAAAGGATGTGGATACAGCAAGGCCGATTTCCCTGTGCAGCTGCCAGCACTGGTCTGGCCTGGGGACGCAGGAAGTCTCTTCCCTCCAGTGTGTCTGGCATTCAAAGAGGCACGGAGTAGACAGTGGTCACCTCGGGCCCGTGGAGCCGTTGTCACTGCGAGTGCCAGCGGAGGAGCCCTGCCACCTAGCTCCCGTTCCGTGTGGGCCTTGCAGACGACGGCATAGCGGAACCGAGGGGCTCATGATGCTTGCCGGTCCTCAGAATCTCAGCTTTCGGAAATTTCTGTGGTTCTTTTGAGATGTAAATACTGATGCCTCCAGCATTACCTCTCTCCCTGTCACACTCCTCTGTGTACACATGCATGCACGCACATGCACACACGCACCCATATCCATGTGCACGCACATGTGCCCACATGTATACTCACACGCGCACATGTGTACTCACACACTTGTGCATGCACACACGTGTGCACACGCTTATGCAGTGCACCCGCACACACTTATGCACGTATACACATATGCACACACTTAACGTACACATGCACACATACACGTGCATTCACACACTTATGCACACACTTATGCACTTATGCACATGCTTATGCACACATGTGCACACACATGCACATGCGTATACACACACATGCACACACTTATGCACACATGCGCACGCTTATGCACACACATATGCACATATGCACACACTTATGCACACATTTATGCACACACTTATGCACACACACGCACACACACACACACGACTATTGGGACTCAGGGTATCAGGGGTGGACATTTGATTGCCTTGTGTCGCAGAGGATGAAAGATGTACCCTGTGTCACCTCAGGAACCTCAACGTCTGGTTTCTCTAGTGCTCTGTAATGTAAAACCGTAGGTTTTACAACTGGATGTGGCACTCACACCGTACCCTGGGTTAGGATGAGCTTTTCTTTTTTCTCTTTTTTTTTTCCATTCTTTTTAATGTTCTTTGGGATTGGTTAGCTTTTTTTTTTTTTTTTTTTAATTTTTTATTTTTGGGACAGAGAGAGACAGAGCATGAACGGGGGAGGGGCAGAGAGAGAGGGAGACACAGAATCAGAAGCAGGCTCCAGGCTCTGAGCCATCAGCCCAGAGCCCGACGCGGGGCTCGAACTCACGGACCGCGAGATCGTGACCTGGCTGAAGTCGGACGCTTAACCGACTGCGCCACCCAGGTGCCCCGGGTTAGCTTTTTAAAAACATTTTTTTTTTTTAACGTTTATTTATTTTTGAGACAGAGAGAGACAGAGCATGAACAGGGGAGGGGCAGAGAGAGAGAGAGGGAGACACAGAATCGGAAGCGGGCTCCAGGCTCTGAGCCATCAGCGCAGAGCCCGACGCGGGGCTCGAACTCCTGGACCGCGAGATGGTGACCCGGGCCGAAGTTGGACGCTTAACCGGCTGAGCCACCGAGGCGCCCTGGGATTGGTTAGCTTTTTATCATTATTTAGTTATAGTTTGTCAATTCAGATGAAATGCCCGGACGTTCACATTTCATCGTGTGTGAGTGAGGCAGAGCGCGTGTTACAGGGGGAGTGCGTGTTACTGGGGGACTGAAATGTGACATTTGCTGTTCTCTTCCTGGCCTTTGTGAAAATATGAGACTTTTATCCCGTTTTCCCCATCTCGTTGCCAGAGCACTTTCTCTGTGTTTAAGTTTTGTTGAAATTCTGTTTTCTGTTCGTGGTCAATACATTGAGACCCGCAGTTAGGTAGCTTCATAGGTATGGAATTTGGGGACTAGTTGTTGTACGACTGAAACACTTAGGATTTTTTAAAAATTGTAAAGTTAATTGTTTGCTGTGTCATACGATGATTTTGGCAAACCACTCATGGCTGTTTCTGTTAGAAGAACGAAGAACTCTTTACAGATGCGTTGGCTGGCTTTTATGAAAAGGTGCTTGAGGTCGGGGCGTCTGGGTGGCACAGTCAGTTACGCTTCTGGCTCTGGCTCAGGTCATGATCTCGCAATTCATGAGTTCGAGCCCCGTATCAGGCTCTGTGCTGCCAGTGTGGAGCCTGCTTCAGATCCTCTGTGCCCCCCTCTCTCTCTGCCCCTCCCCTGTGCGCTTTCTCTCTCTCTCTCCCCCCCCCACTCCCTCCCTCCCTCAAAAAAAAAAAAGTGCTTCAGATTTATCCAGGTTGTTCTACTTAAAAAAGGAGGTGGGTGGGGTTGGAAACTTCTCCCAAGTAAGATACCAGCAGTTACATCATTATCTTAAACATGCATTGGAGGTCGTGGATTATGTCCTGCTGGGTATCTAAGCCAGAACTGTTTCAAAGGCTTGATTTTTTTTTTTTCCACAGCCGAAATCAGAGGGACAGAGGTATTTGAAAGGGAGTCCTTTGTCCTGGTAAACGATTGGCTGTGTTAGCATCACCTCTGTCCCTCTGTGTCAGTCTTTATATGATCCAAAGGTGGCGACCTATTAACGCAGGGCCGTGCACAGCTTTTATATCGGGGTGGATGTGAAGGCCTCCTTTCTTCCCCTCCAGACCTGTCACCTTCTTTTCTTCCCTGTCATTCTGTTCAGTGCCGTGCAATTAAGGATGATTAGGCGTTAAGAGTAAGCGGAGTTAGAAGACGCTAATTCCTGATTGCTCACCCCCGAACTGTGCACTGAATGGCTGCACTAGATGGGGAGAAAGCAGAAACGCCTTGTCGTGGAAAATCTCATTACCCACGGTGATGGGGTGTTGGGGGTGGGCTGCAGAGCGTGGACCCCGTGGCTGCGTCCCAGGGTGTCTGGCTTTGTAAACCACGGGTACGCACAGATACGTGCACGTGGGACATCTGAGCCTAACTGCACAAAGCAGTTTGCTTCAGATGCTTCCTTGAGGTATCCTGGGGCTGAACAATAAGTACCCGGCAGGGACAGCAAAGCTGGCTGCCCTTTTGGGGAGAAATCTTCCTTGGGTCACCTTCTAGAAGACCGATGCATGAAAATTAGGATAAAAAAGGTTGGTTTGTTTTTTTATGTGGGGAGCCAACTCACTGCCACGGAGGCGGTACGTATTGACAGATTCCTCTGGGGTGCTTGTGGAAAAGTGACATTTGAAGGTCTCAGGACACTTAAATCTTTCTCTTTGATCTCAGCATTTGGACACACAAATTGCACTACTTTTCCTTTATTTTTTAAAAGCTTATTTATTTGGGATGCCTGGGTGGCTCAGTTGGTTAAGTGTCTGACTCCTGGTTTCGGCTCAGGTCACGATTTTACGGTTCATGGGTTCGAGCTCCGCATTGGGCTCTGTGTGAGAGCGCAGAGGCTGCTTGGGATTATCTCTCTCTCTCTGTCCCTCCCCCACTCATGCTCTCTTTCTCTCGCTCAAAACGCGGGGCTCCATCTCACCTTGACCTGAGCCGAAATCAATAGTTGGACGCTCAACCGGCTGAGTCATCCACGTGTCCTCACGTGATTACTTTTAATTTAGCTAATTTTAGGACAGCCCCAAACAAATCTGAAAACTGCTTTGTTAATCTCATGGGCTAATTGCACATTAAGGGTAGTGTTCCCTCATCGTATTTTTGCACAAGGTAAGTACCAGCAGGAAGTAAATATGTGAGGATATTTTGATCCAGAGGGATTGCGTTTAACATGAATGTTTTTTTGAGATCCAAGATAATGGTATTTTTAAAAAAGTGATTGAAGTTGATTCTTTTTATCTGAAATATGTCCATAAACAACCTGTTGCCCTTTGCGACCTGCCCATGTTTTCAGGTTGATTTATATTTATTTACCTAGCTGTACGACCTCAGCGTCAACATTTTTGGTGTAAGCTTTGGACATCTCCCAGCAGTTCGCTGGAATGATTCTTTGCCTCACCCCGAACATGATTACCTTGTTCCCGTCACATAATCCTTTCCAACATTCTCTCTTTTTAGAAAAGTTGAAATGTTTGGGATGCCTGGATGGCGCAGTCGGTTAAGCGTCTGACTTCGGCTCAGGTCATGATCTCACAGTTTGTGGGTTTGAGCCCCACGTCGGGCTCCGTGCTGATGGCTCAGAGCCTGGAGCCTGTTTTGGATTCTGTGTCTCCCTCTCTCTGCCCCTCCCCTGCTCCTGCTCTGTCTCTCCCTGTCTCTCAAAAATAAGTAAATGTTAAAAAAAATTAAAAAACAAAAAAAAGTTGAAATGTTCCCAAGCGTTTGATTTTTCTTTCGCTACCAGGTGAAAGGTTTTAGCATTTCATTTAAACATCTCGTAAGGGGTCTGATTTTAAAAAATGTATAAAAGGAAAAAGAGGTAACGATCAGCTTGCCCTCACCTGCTCACTGGCGGAGGCATACTTCCTTACACTGGGCGGTAGGGATGGAGCAGACTTTGGAAGGCTGCGTCTCAAGACGAAACCAAAACTTAGGAGAAGTTGTGTGCGAGTCGAATGGCCCTTCTCCCTCGCGTGTGGGGCGGGGGTCTGTTTGCATCTGTAGTTTCGCCTTTAGAAACACGTGCTTCAGTTTCTGGATGTTTCTGGACCTTTCCACCATCTACCCAGGCACTTCCTTGGGTCTTCACTGAGGGTGTTATTTTAGGGAAGCGCTTCCGAAGAGGCTGGTACATGTCGGTGGGAATACGCGGTTTATCTGGTTTAAAGCTACAGACTCACGGCCTGGGACCCGGTGTTAAGCAGCGTCCGCCCGCTTCTTGCAGATGGTCGTGGAGACTGACAAGCACAGCATCTCCATGAGGATGGCGTCGCCCGACGACGTGAGCGAAGTGTTGGCTCACATCGGCACCTGCCTGCGGAGGATATTTCCTGGCCTCTCTCCAGTGTGAGTTCCCCGGGGGCGGGAGGGGTGGGGTGGAGGGCGGGGGGAAAGCGAGGACCTCCTGTCTTTTCCGGGAATGACAGCGGGGCTCCCTGTCGCCCCTGCCCTCGGGGCCTCCCCTCAGCCTCCCTCTTCTCTTCGCCGTTAAATGGCGGACATGACGCTAACTCAAGCCGCTGTGTTTTGTGTCTGAGGTTCTCCAAGGTTTCCTACTTTCAAGAGCTTGGGTGACAGAGGGTGTGTGGCCACCCTTTAACCTCTGCTCCTGAGGCTAAAGCAGAAACCTGTCTCGTAGAACTTGAGATTTACCCCAATGGAGTCAGTGAGATTTACCCCAACGGTTGGGGGGGGGGGGGTTCTGAGTGCTTCGCAGAAAGGCCTTGAGTCTAGTATTAACGAAGAGTGTGAGAGTCTTCATTTTCCTTGTTTTATTAATTAATTTATTATTATTTTTTGCCTGATCAGTAAGACAAAACTTAGAAAAGAAACAAAGATTAGCCTCTTTTTCATTTTCCTCTTAGTTTCCGGAAGCCCACGTCAGGGAAGTTAGTGACGTACTTGCGTCTCTGCACAGCCTCACATTTCTTTGTTCACACGCTTTTCATCAGGGTTATGCGCCCGGATGACAGAGTCTGTCCTGAGGGAACGTGTGGGGTGTTGGAAGGGAGGTTGGAACGGCTGAGGTCAAAAGGCAGAAGGATCCTTGTGCCGGAAAGCTCCCTAAAGTGATAACCCGTAATGAAGATGCCTTCCAGCTGAAAGAGCTGGTTCAGAAGTTCTGGAAAATACCCCTCCCGGTGCTTGCTCTGTGCGCAGGCCGGGAGGCCTCGTGGGGACACGTCTAGGGTGGTTCGCTGGGCACCTTGCTGGCGGGGAGCGGGAGGGAAATTTCGGGGACTTGCCCTTCACGGGACGCGCTCCCAGATGCTCTGCTTGTAAATTGACGCGGCGCAGGAGAACCGAGCCTTGTGTCTTTCAAGCCTTTTGGGCGCCTGCAGGTGGCTCGGGAGAGACGGGGCTTCCTGTCCGCCTCTGACTTGCCAACACCCGCTGGGTTCTTCTGACGGCTCTGCGCTGGACTGGCTCGTTTCCTCGGTCCCCCAGGCCTGGGGGACCCGGCCCTGTGCCCTCTGGCTGTTCACCCCGGGGCCTCCTCCTGTCCGCCTCCTTGCCCTCCTCTGACTCTCTGGCTGGCCGATCGTCGAGGGAACGGAGGTGGTGAGCGGGGGGCTGTCCCTCGACTCCTGCCAGGCTGGAATTTCCGGGTAGGGGGCCTGTTAAAGCCAGGCTGTTGCTGGTGTCTAGCCACACACTTGTGTGTGTGCAGGAGAGGTGCGGGCGGGCAGGGGTGCGGGATGCAGTGAGTAGCCCTGAGTAGTGGTGATGGGGAAATACCCAGAAGCGAAACATCCTTCAGGCCCCCAGAGAACTCTCTGGGGGCGATCGTGCCTTAGCAGTCACTACAGCCCCTTTCCCCTCAGCTGCACTCGGTCACGGTCACGGGGCTTTGTACGCGAGCTTCCTGAGAACGCCCTCGCTCTCCGTCCCCAGGAGCCCCGGTGAAAGAAGGACGTGGTCAAGCACAGCCTTGTTTATTTAGCAAGGGCTGGTTTGACCCTCCGAGCAATGTTTAGAATCTCTGCTTTCTGTAAAACGCAGTTTTATTTGCCTAATATCCTAGGAATTTTGAGGGAATTAGCAGTTTTATTTTCGCTTTTGATTCTTCCATTTCTCCTTCCCAGAGAACATTGTAGAATAAAAGCGTCTTCACTTTTTGCTGCCATTTAGCAACTTCTTGAAAGGTTCAGGCAACGATTAAATGATGTGCTCCATTTCCGGAGAGGCATGCGTGTTAGTTTCTAAATCCATGACCTCCACCTCACCCTCATCTTCCTTTCTGTCCCCCAGCAGCCCAAGGCCCAAGGATGTCCCCAAGGACGTCACACATGGTGCAGCCCATAAACTTAGCAAGTTTCTTCCTGAAAACCTGCCTGTATTTGGTAGTGTATCTCAGTTAGTGGCCTCACCATTTAATTTTTTTTAATGTTTTATTTATTTATTTATTAAAAAAATTTTTTTTTCAACGTTTATTTATTTTTTGGGGGACAGAGAGAGACAGAGCATGAACGGGGGAGGGGCAGAGAGAGAGGGAGACACAGAATCGGAAACAGGCTCCAGGCTCTGAGCCATCAGCCCAGAGCCTGACGCGGGGCTCGAACTCACGGACCGCGAGATTGTGACCTGGCTGAAGTCGGACGCTTAACCGACTGCGCCACCCAGGCGCCCCTGGCCTTGTCATTTAAATAGTCATTTGTCCCTAACTTGCACGTCTCATTAGTTGCCAAACCCTTTTCATGTGGAGTTTCTGGTCTGGGCCTTTGCCTGTCTTCTCATGTCCACTACCTGAGTTCAGAGGGTCTCGCTTGCCAGGGTGACATCGTCCTAGCTAGAGTGTCTCCGTCTCCAGTCCTCTTCCTTGTCTTCCTTCCGCACCGTCACCAGAGGTACCCTTCTATACCCCAGTAGCGTCTGTGCTGTGAGCCTGGCCTAGAAGCCCACTGCCGTCTGGCCCCGTGATCCACCTGTGCCTGAGCACATCCTCCTCTTGTATTCTCAGTGCTTTCATTCAGGCTGCTCTTCCAGACAAGCTTCCGCTGCAAAAGACGTAGCCCAGATCTTGAAAGAGTTTATGTTTCCATAGAACTTTGCGATCACTTCCCACACTAGCACCTGTCTCACTGTGTTATAATTGTTTCTTTACACACTCATCCCTTGGTGAGTGTTGAGTTTCTACTACTGACGGCAGGGTGCTAAGTGTTGGGGTGCACGACCCACATGGAATTTCCACTGGGAAGCAGACCCCCCGAGAAGGGGAAATAAATAAATGAAGTAAGTAAGTATAAATTTGACTGAATGCTTGCAGCTGATCCTCCCTGCAGGGCTAATTCAAAGAATAAAATTCTCTCTGCAAGGGCCTCCCTGTGGCCATGATGCTTTGAACAGACCGTCATGGAGAAAAAGGAGTCTGAAGAGGGCGGGGAATGTTTCCTTCTCGGGCCTCTGCTCCTGCCGCTGGACCGGGATTGGCGTTGCTGAGAGATGCGCTGTGGCTGCAGGGTGTGGAAGAGGAGGGTGCAGACGGGAGGGATGGAGACTGGTGTATGAGATCAGGCTGGAAACGTAGGCGCTGGTCATTTTATGGAGAGAGTAAAGAGTCTGCAGTTTAGCGGCAGCTCACGAGGAAGCCAGTGTCGCGTGCATGAAGGGATGGGACATGGTTCCCTTTGTAGTTTATGAAAATTGTGCCGCTGGAGACAGAATGGCGTGGGAAGGGGAAGAGCAGGTGGGGACACCGGCGGTGACCCAGGGGAAGGGTGGCCGTGGCCAGGGGTAGGGCAGTGACGTTGGAGGTAAGGATAGAGGATGGGACACAGAGGATTTATTGTGGGCACAGGACTGGCTGATAGATTCCGTGTGTGGGTGACGGCAGGGAGGAAAGAGAGGACCGAGGACGGCTCTAGGGTTTCTGGATTAAGGACTCAGTGACCAGTGCTCCTTTTCAGTGAGGTGGAGAGGGCCCAGGGTAGGTGCAGGGGGCAAGTTTTATTTTGGGGGTAAAACACCCCAACCGCTCTGCTGTAAGCATGCTAAGCTTGAGGTCTTGGACGTGTAGGTGGGGATATCAGGTCGGTGGTTATATACGTGGGGTCGGAGCTTGGAGGAAAGGTCCGGGTCTGGAGACGCAGTGGACGTGGGAGGCGTCAGCATAGACGGTCTTGCACGCGTGACTTTTCTGAGATCGGCCAGAGAGACGTGTGCACCTAGACGAGAGAGCATCTTCAGAATGAGGACAAGTGCAAGAAGAAGAGCCGGGAAGGGCCCATATGCTCACCTCTGTGAACCGACACGGGGGAGAGGGCATCTTTCCACCCACGGCTGCTCTCACTAACACAGCAGTTCCTGAGAACCTACGCGAGGAGCTACAAGAAAAGGCGTCTGATCTAGAGGAGACAGAGGGTGGCTGGGCATATGTGGGAGGTGGCTGGATGCAGGCTGGCTGTGTGGAGCGCCCC